GCACATTCGCAGCATGGCATCACACCCAGGATGGGGACAGAATGGGATCCATTGGCCTTACTCAGATCTCTCCAGCTTTACATGTACTAGTTTACACCAGGCACAAGAGTGTGCTCCCTCCCGTTATCCCTAATCCCTGGTCATTACCAATCCATCCTTTGCTTCTATGATTTTGTTATCCCAAAAGTGCTATATAAGTGGGAACATAACTTGGAACTTTGGGGCACTGGTATTTTTGAGATTGGCATAAATTCCCTTGAGAGTCACATGTGTAGTGGGTGTATCTGTGTTCCTTTTTTATTGCCAAGTAATATTTCGTTTTGTTTTGCCCCCCCCCCCTTTTTTTTTGAGTCAGGGTCTGATACTATAGCTCAGGTCGACTTGAACTTGTGGCAGCTCTTCTCCCTCAGCCTCATGAATGCTGGGATTACAGACCCGAGGCATTATCTGGCCATATATCCCAGACTAGCCTCAATTGTATACTTACTTTTTTTTGATTTTTCAAGACAGGGTTTCTCTGTATAACAGCCTTGACTGTCCCAGAACTCACAGAGATCCACCTGCCTCTGCCTCCCGACTGGTGGGATTAAAGGTGTGTGCCGCGGTGCCTGGCTGGCTTACTTATTTTTAAGAGACTTTTTTGTGTATGTGTGTCTGATGCTAAGGATGGAGCCCCGAGTCTCTGCATGCCAGGTATCCTCTCAGACACTGAGCTGTAGCCCCAGTATAGGACTTTAGTGGGTTTATTTGTTTTTTTGTTTGTTTGTTGCCAAAGATACAGTGTTTCCAATATCCTGTCCTTCCCGTATGGATGGTCCCACTTGTTACAATCGGACACTGACACTTAGTCGATATCCGGAATCCATTGTTTACCTGGGTTTCGCTGCAGGTATGGTGCAGTCTCTGAATCTGACAGATTCCTAATGACCTACATCCTCCATTGTACTATCAAATGGAGACTTTTCACTGCCCTAAAAATACTCGGTGCTTGTCCTGCTCATCCCTCCCTTTCCCCCAACCTCTGGCCGCTACCAATCTTGTTCCTGACTCTGTGATTTTGCTTTCTCCCAATTGTCAGATGGTTAGAAACATACAGCGCAAAGCCTTCTCAGATGGCATGTTTTCACTCAGTTATATACATTGTAGATTCCATGGAGTCTTGTTTTTATGGCTAGATCCTTCCCTTTTAGCACTGAATACTGTCCCACTGATTGGCTGTGCTGTGGCTTTCTTACTCATTCCCTCATTGGAAAACATCTTGCTTGCTTCCCACTTTTGGCAGTCATGGGCGGATCTGCAGTAAACATTCATGTACAGCTTCCTGCGTGGACATGTTCTTATACCCGTGGGCTCATACCAAGGGCACAGTTCTGTTTTGTGAGAAGCCGCCCAACTCTCTTCCCAAAGTGACTTACCGCTTCATCTTCTCATCAGCTGCGGATGTTCCCGAGGCGTCCTGTCCCGGCCAGCATCTGGCAGCAGTGTTTTTGATTTCTGTCATTCTAATAGACATGTCTGTAGAGGGAGATGGCATTGTCATGTTGATTTGTAATCACCCAACAATTACAGTGCTGAACAGTTCCCAGGCACCTACTGCCTGCCATCTGTGTCTTTTGGTGGGGTAACTGTTAAGATCTTTTATCTAGTTAAGAACGTCAGGGGAGGGGCCAGAGTGGTACACCAGGCTTTAGTCCCAACACTTGGGAGGAAGAGGCAGGTGGAGCTCTGTGAGTTCAAAGCCAGTCTGGTCTACATAGTTGGACACTGCACTCCCCCCCACCCCCAACGCTGTCCCTGCAAAAAAAGTAGGGGAAACAGTGAGATGACTCGGTAGGTAAAGGCCCTTGCCCCAAGTCTGGTGCCTGCATTTGATCCTTGGAACCCATGTGGTGAAATGAACGAACCAGCTCTCTCTCAAGTGGTCTTCTGACCACCACATGCTCTGGTGGTACACATTAAATATGAATGTAATCTTAAAAAAAATCAAGCTGTGCTCAGCAAGGTGGCTCATGGGTAAAAGTACTTGCTGTGAAAGCTCCGTGCCTCGATGGATCCCCAGAACCTCTTACCTGCTGACCTCTCGCTCCATCCCCCAAATTCACTTAAATTTTCATATGTATATATGATGTATGTGTGCTGCATATCTCATACACATGTACATGTCTCCATGTGTGAATATTAATGTGTGAGTGTGGGCACACATGTGCCATGGGACATGTGTGGAAGTCAGAGGATAACCTTGGGTGTCAGTCCTCAGTCTTCCACCTTATTTGAGCCAGGGTCTTTTGCTGTTCACTGATGCTAGTCTAGGGTAGTTGACCCATGAGCTTCCAGGGAGTTCCCTGTCTCTGCCACCAGTTTTTGTCATAGGTGTCCTATGGTTACAGATCCATACTACCAAACCCACATCTGGCTTTCCATGGGTTCTGGGGATTCAAACTCCGGTCCTATGCTTGCATGGCAAGCCCTTGATCTACTGTGCCATATCCCCAAGTCCCCCCTTTTTTCCTGGGTTTTTGAGGTAAGGTTTCTCTATGTGTAGTCCTGGAACTTGCTCTGTAGACCAGGCTGGCTGGTGGAGACCAGCTCCCTCTTCCCCCACCTCCCAGGGTACTCTTGAGGAGGGAGAAGTGAGAAATATGTGGATAGAAGTATAGAGGAGAGAGACAGTTGGAAGCATAGGATAGTTTGGGAGGGCCTGGATCCTAATCCACTGGCCCCTTCCATCTCCATTAAAGGACTTTTTAAAGGAATGCCAAGGGGTGGACCATAGACTTCCCCCAAGCACAGCCAAGTGTAGACCACCCCAGGCACCTGGTGACCATGCATATGGTCAAGCCATCCCCTAATGCAGCCCTGCTGTGTAAAGCAAGCTCAGAGCTCACTAGAAAACCTTTGTGGGCTCCCACAGCTGACCTCAAACTCACAGAGATCCACCTGCCTCTGCTTCCCGAGTGCTGGGATTAATTTTTGCCAGTTCTTTAAGATTTTCCACACGTACAATGCCATCCTTGAGAATTTGTGTTTTTACTTCTTCTCTTCCAATGTGCACGTTTTCTTGCCTTATTTCCTTGTCTATCACAGAACACTGGATAAATATCGTGATGGTAGACTATTAATCTAGAGGGAAAAGCAGTCCCACTGGTAAGTATGGTGTGAGCTGTAGGGTTTCATAGATGCTCTTTATAAAATTCCTGGTATGCTAACAATTTTTAAATTATTAATAAGTGTTGAATTTCACCAAATAAAATTTTTCATGCCTTTCTTAAATCATTACTTTTAAGGCATTCTGTTAAAATGGGGACTGGGGATGGCGAGATGGCTTAATGGGCAGAGTATCAGCCTCCAAGCCTGACAACGCGGGGCCTACCTGATGGCAGGGAACCAGCTCCAGCAAGTTGTCCTCGGACTGCCACGTGTGCTCAGTGGCACACCCCTCCTCCGGGTGACATCCATAAATACAAGTGTGACTTAAACAATTTTAAGTGTGCTGGGCATGGTGGTACAAACTTTAATCCCAGCACTCTGGAGGCAGAGACAGGCAGATCTGTGAGTTCAAAGCTAGCCTGGTCTACAGATCAAGTTCTAGGACAGCCAGAATTACTCTAAGAAAAGAAAGGAAAAGAAAAGAATTAAAAATTAAAACAAAGAAATAAGTAAAATCAAAGTGGTGAGTTATATTTCTTTTTGAATGGCAGACAAGTTTTGCATTCATGGGATATATCACATTCAGTCGTTATGTATTGCCATTTTACTTATTGCTAGAATTGCTAATATTAACATTTTCTTCAGTATTTTTGCATCTTAATTCATGGAAGTGCTAGTTTGTAATGTCCAGAACTCGATGACCAACTTGGGCTGGACTCAGACACTGAATCAGGACGTATTTGCCCCTCTTCTTCTCCAGAGGAATTTGTGGATCGATACACTTTATTCTCTGAGGTCTGGGGAGCCTGGCCAGCGAGGCTTCCTGCTCTTCGTACTTCCTTCATGAGGAGGTTTTAACTCACAAGTTTAATTCCTTTACGAGATATAGGGCTATTTGATATTTAAATTTCTTTTTAAATCCATTTTAGTATGTCATGCTTTTTTAGGAATGTCTGTATCAATTAAACTATTCAATTTCTGGCATGAAGATGCTTGTGATCTTTCCCTACTATCTTTTAAATGTCTGTAGCAGCTGTAGTGATGGCTTTTTTTCCTCATCAGGTTTATAACTTATATTAGAATTTGTATTCTCGCCGGGCGGTGGTGGCGGCACACGCCTTTAATCCCAGCACTCGGGAGGCAGAGGCAGGCGGATCTCTGTGAGTTCGAGGCCAGCCTGGTCTACCAAGTTAGTTCCAGGAAAGGCACAAAGCTACACAAAGAAACCCTGTCTCGAAAAAACCAAAAAAAAAAAAAATTTGTATTCTCCTTCTCCCCCTCTCCTCCCCTCCCCTGCCCTCCTCTTCTCTCCCCTCCCTTCTCAGAACCAACTTTTGTGTTTGTGAGACAGGATTTCATCGAGCAGCCGCAGTTAGCCTGGAACCCACTGTGTAGGCCAGGCTAGCCTCACCCTATGGAGCAATTCATGCTTCCAGAACCAACTTTGAATGTTCAGATCCACTGCATTTTATTTTGTTTAGTCTGTTTTTGTTTTCACTTTAAGTTGTAATTTTCAGTTTAAATGTTGTTTGTTTTGTTTTGAGACAAGGGTCTCTCTGTGTATCCCTGGCTGGCCTGGAACTCACTCTGTAGACCAGTCTGGCCTTGAACTCAGAGAGATCCACCTGCCTCTGCCTCCTGAGTGCTGGGACTAAAGGTGTGTGCCACTACTGCCTGGCTAAGCTTGCCACTTCTTAATGATCGACCCAGTGATTTTCCCAGCTCTTTCCAGGCCCTCTCCAGTAATCTTGCTCACTCCATGCCTTTGGTCATCCTCTCTCCAGGCCCAGCCTCTCTCCTCATGCCCATTTTCCTGGCATTGTCTTACAAGGCCTTGGAGAGTGAGGAGACTCCTTGGGAACAGGAGAAAAGCCTTGGCCTTGAGATAGACTATCAGCCTCTCGTGACTCTGGGCCGAACCTTCTGAGGAAACCGATACCCTCTCACCCAGCCCTTGCAGGACCTAGGGAGGTTCCCAGGATGTTGTGAGTAGTCCCTCTTTGTTACTCTGAGACATGGAGCCCCCAGGAGAATCAGCTGACAGGTGATCCCGACACCTCCCACAGAAGTCCTAGGTGGATTTTGAGGACCCCTCCCTGTGCCTAGACTTCCAACCCCCCAAAAACCAGAGCCTTGCTTTTGTCCTTCTCACTCACCTCCACACAGCTCCAGCAGCAGCAGCGACTGTGGAGTTGACTTCCTGGGCATCTCCCCAGCTTTGCCTTCCTCTCCCCACACCAGCCAGGTCTAGAACCTAGCAGCTCTCCTCATGATATTCTCCAGAGCCCTCCTCCCATGGCCTCACCCCTTCTCAAGAGCTTTACCCCATCTACATGGCCTCACCCCCTCTCCATAGCCCTTATCCCCACAGCCTCACCCCCTCTTTGTGGTCCCCTCTGCACAGCTTCATCCCCCCTCCATGGTTCCCTCCCCACAGCCTCCCCCACTCTGTGGTCCCCTCCCCACAGCCTCTCCCCCTCTCCATGGTCCCCTCCCCAAAGCCTCCCCCTCTCTCTGTGGTCCCCTCTCCACAGCCTTCCCCTCTCTCTGTGGTCCATGCCCCACACCCCTCCCCCCCCTCCACAGTTCTCCTCCATCCTAGCCTCTGAGAGATCTGGCAAAGCGGCGTCTGCTCACACCCTGTCTGTGTTCTGAGCCTCAGGCTGGCTCTGCTTTGATTCTGAGATGGATGCAAAGCCCTTTGCCTGCAGCTGAGGGGCTTTCCTGAGCAAAACTCCTGCAGACGCACTCGGACAGCGCCCTCCTTCCCCTCTTCTTTTTTCCACGCCAGCCCGGGCAGACACCCTTTCCTTCTCTCCCTGCCTGCTGCCAACCCCACAGGAAGGCCTATCCTGCAGGGTGTAGCCAGCCCATAGCCCTCCAGTGTAAAAGAATGAAAGCAGGTGTGATCTGCGCCCACACAGTGCACCCCCGTGTGGGCGGGACTATGAAAATCTTCGTGAACCAACTCTGTCTCCTAGGCTTAGCTGCCTCTAAAACCAAGACGTGAAGCAATGGGGCCAACCAGAGGGAGTGGCTCAGGATCCCCAGAGGACACACAGGTTAGGGTTGTGAGACACTCTGAGTGGGACTCACAGGGTGCTCAGGCAGGTGGGAGCTGGGTGTCCCTCTGCAGATGTGTGTGTGTACACGTGTGTGTATTTCCCTGGTGACACTGACTTCAGGGCTAGCTTGAGAGTGGAGGGGCTAGAGAGGGCCTGTGGCATGTCTGTCCACATGTCTGTCCACACCCTTCTATTCCTCCATTGTCATGCAAGAGTCAATTGGTCTCCTGCACACCCCCACCCAAAAGCGTATAACTTGAGACATCTCCTGACTCTGCCACCCCCTCCCTGTATGAGTGAATTCACTTTTTTGGGCCCCAGTTTCCTACTTGGAAAATGGAGTTTGTAAATCCAGCTGGGGCATTGTGAGGAGCAGCTAAAAAGCCTCTCTGAAGCCTTTCTTGCTATTCATGGGAAATAAATAAATAGGCCTTCGCTCCTCCCACTCCCCAGCATGTGAGTGTCTCAAGGCAGGTGACCTTTTTCTTCCTCTGTTTTTAAAAAAAATATTTATTTATTTACTTTTATGTGCATTGGTGTTCTGCTTGCATGTGTGTCTATGTGAGGGTGCCAGATCCCCTGGAACTGGAGTTACAGACAGGTGTGAGTTGCCATGTGGGTGCTGGGAATTGAACCTGGTCCTCTGGAAAGGTACCCAGTGCTATTCACTGCTGAGCCATCTCCCCAGACCCGGATCTTTGTGTTTGTTTCGTTTTCGATACAGGGTTTCTCTGTGTTGTCTTGGCTGCTCTGGAACTCACTCTGTAGACCAGGCTGGCCTGGAACTCACTCTGTAGACCAGGCAGGCCTCCTTTTTCTTCCTGTCTAAGATAGGGTCTCATGTAGCCCAGGCTGAACTCAAACTCACTGATCTCCTGCCTCTGCCTCTTTAGTGATGGGATCATGGTGTGCTCTGCTAGCCCTAGTTCATGTAGTGCTGGGGATCGAACCCAGGGCTTTGTGAACGCTAGGCGAGCACTCTACCAACTGAGCTGTTAACGGGTCTGCAGCCTGAGCAGGCCTAGTCTTATTTTAAACTGAGACCCTCCTCCCTTGTCTACCAGCCTGGGCCTCACATATCATCAGGCCCATGGAGGTGTTTGGAATTGCCTAACGGAAGGGAAGGAGCTGGGGAGGCTGGCCATGTCCTGGCCAGGACATTAGGATTTGGGATGAGAACTCTCTTCATAGTCCCAAACAACGCCTTTGCCTTTGGACACTGCAGATCCTAGGCCTGATTCACGTGTCTTGAGACCGAAACAGGTTTGGCAGGGGCCACAAGGCTTGCTCCACCTGCCAGGAGGTCCGGCCCCTAGCTCAGAGAGTGTGCGAAGGCCAGGCCAGCACACAGTAGGTGCTCAGAGCACAGGACTCAACCTCTCCCGCTGCTTCGTTCTCTCCTCCCAGTTCCTTTTCTTCTGTGTGAGAGATGTCTCCAAGGAAACCGTAGGAATTATTTTAAGAAAAGAGCCGAGGGCTTGGGTGGGAGCAGATGGTGGCTTGGGCATCTGGGAGACAGAGGCAGGCTTCTCTGGCCCTTGGAGGAGGCAAGGAGTCCCAGATGCCTCCCCATCCCAGAAAGCACCAGGCCAGAGCCTGGAGGCACATCTGTATTGGAGGGCAGAGGCAGAAAATGTTTCTGGCGACCAGGAGGCAAGAGACAATGTGTGGCCTTGACAGTGTGCTCGCCTCCCCGGGTGGCCCTGAAGAAGTGCCAGTGGCCTCTGAGTGAGTGGGAGGCTGTACGGCCAGGGATGGAGCCGTAAGCAGGGTGGACTGAGTGCTGAGATCAGAACAGCGGGTGCTCCTGTGCCGGGCAGAGTACGTTCACTCCTTCACTCACTGGCTCATTCCTTCAGCTCACACCCCTCTGCCTCCCGGCACACCCTTTCAGAGCGTCCTTCTTGTGGGGTTTTTGTCCCATTTTTGCTGATGAAGAAACTCAGGTATCAGGAGACAAAATGAACCCTGAAGATTACACACAGAATTTCTCTCCCGGCCTTGTCCTCGTTTTCTCTAGACCTTATCACCTTGAACAGAGGCCTCCTAGTCCTTGCAAGGACATGGAGTCTGTTACGATTCCTCCCCTGCTGACTTTTGCAGCCTCTCCTTTATCTCCATGAGCGGTTGGCACCAGTCTCTGAACATGACTTCGGGATGAAGAGCCCTCCCTCCCTGTCCTCCTCGTGTGCCTCAGTTTACACCCTGCCTGCGCCACTCCGTTACATCCTCCCACACTGTGGGTGATGGGCTGGGGTCCCTCTGAGACAGCTGTGTTCTCTCTAGTCTCCTCCGGAGACCAAACATGCCTGAGGCACAGGCTGGAGGGGTATCCGTGAAAATGCCGAAGGAGAGAGGAATGAGTGAGAGAGGAAATACCGAGGGATTTCCATCCTGAGCTTCAGTTTGTTCTCCAAACATTTCTCAGGCACCTTCTCCATGCCAGGCCTACTGCCAGCCCCAGGGACAGCTCAGCCTCAAGATCCACTTTGCACTTTACCCTGTGCCTCTGATGTACGACTGTAGTGCAGTCCTCAAGCCTGCCACGCAGTTGTTTGTGCTCGTGTCCACTTTCCACTCGTGGAAACAGAGGCCCAGTGAGGTTGGTTATAGTCGTAGCCAGTTGTGCCGTAACCAGGATTAGAATCCAGGTCTGTTCACACAGCCCACACGCCTTCCACAATGAGAAGACAGGGCAAAACCAAGCAGGGGGATATGAGAGTATTGGGAAACACGGGCGAGGAACAGGAAGAGGACAGTGCCTGACGCCCCTGTGCTAGGAGAAATTTCACTCACAGTGTCAGAGTCTCCGGTTTGTAGGCAGTTGAAGGTGCTCAGCAGGTAAAGGGCCTGCCACCGAGCCTGATGACCTCACTTCTTCCATCCTCAGAACCCACATGCTAGAGAGAACCGATTCCTGAACACTGTACTCTGACTTACACACACACACACACACACACACACACACACACACACACACACACACACCCTCAATTTAAGAATCTCCTTGCTTTGGCTCCGTCTGTGGGCATGAAATTACACAGACCCAGAGGTCTGACCATGGTGGGTACCAAGTCTGATGAACTCTTCAATTTGAGAAGAACTTGTAATCCTGAGCCTCAAGGAGCTACATCCAGGCTCAGGGATGTCTGTCAATCTGGGTCCCCCTAAGCAGACCTCAAATCTGGCACTTGAGTAGTTATCTGGCAGGTGACGGAGGTGGCTTGAAGGAGTGAAGAGGACAGGAGAGTGCAGGAGAGGATGTTAACAAAACGATACTAGGGAGCAGGTGACCACTGTGGGCCATTGGCCCTTTTCCTGCATCTTCTGAGGAGTGAAGAGCGGCCCAGAGCCATCTCTTCCGAAGACTGGAGGCTGGGTCTTTAGCTGTGACTTTCCTACGAGCTTTCAAAGCTTCTCCTGGCGGTGTCAAACTCCATGCACTCCCAGCTGTCCTGGGCTTGACCTGAGCAATTCCAACCCCAGTCAACATGGCCAGGCGGAGAAGGGCAGTGATATGCGGTCAGGAGCCGTCCACTGCTGCTGAAGCCAGAGTCCAGGGTCGATGTTTGCTACAGTGTTCCAGACACGGGTGTCTTTATTGTATTTTTCAGGTGAGACAGACGACCTCTGAGTGGATGATGCTGAAGCAGGGCCTTGAAAGGTGAGCATGCAATGGGGGAGGAGGTGAAGAAGCAGGCGTCTCAGAAAGAAGCCGCAGTCTAGACCTGAGTCATGAGATGGCACCAGGATTGAGTGAGGGGAGCTATAAAAACTGCTGGGTGGAGGCTGTCAATCCTGGGTTCCAAAGTTCAAGCTCTACTCTGGGTGCAGGGAGCTAAGACTGGGTTAGCTTCGGCAGGGAAGCCAAGAGACGTGCCTAGAACACTTTCTTGGGCTGACATGAGGGATGGAAAGGGGAGCCTGGGACAGGAAGTCTGACAGGAGAGTCCCTGCAGGAACCCTGGCAGCTCCTCTCTTCTCATGGGCCCTGAAGACTAGATGTTACCTGCTGCCAAGTGGACCCTCCGTTAGGACTATTTCCAATCTGGGTCAGGCATCCTCCTCCAGGGTCCCTTCTGAAACCCACGGCTCTGGCACCTGTACAGTGGGAACTGGCAAGCTTAATGGCGGAAGTGGGGGTGATCTTGGAGGGCCAGGGTGCCACAGCCTCTCTACCAAGTTGGTTCCCTTCTGGTCTCTGGGCTGGGTCAGACAAATGTCCCCTCATCTTGTAATTACTGACTGTCCTGGAACTCACTCTGTAGACCAGGCTGGCTTTGAACTCACAGAGATCCGCCTGGCTCTGCCTCCCGAGTGCTGGGATTAAAGGTGTGCACCTCCCGGTCACACACACTTTTTACGTGGGTTCTGAAGATCTGAATTCAGGTCCCTATGTCACACAGCAGGTACTTTACCCACTGAGCCCTCTGCCCCAGCTCGCTTTCTTCCTTAGTACATATCTCAGACACACGTGGAGCTAACAGCCCTGCCCTCATGCTGTGCTGCTGCATTGGTGCAGGCATGGATTTCATATGCTCTAGAACACACCGTAATAAATGAGCTTCTTCCCCCCCCCACCCCGCCCAGCCTGTCCACCTCGTTTTCAGTCTCATTACGTGTATGAGTATCCAAATAATATGCCTTTGTTTTTACTTGCAAACTTTATGGTAACAGCCACCACATTGTGTAGGCTTTTGTCAAGTCAGGACTGTTGACGAAAATCTGTTTATTGTGTGTGATTTTGATTCCCTCGTTCTCCAGGCCGTGCGTGTCTACACCGCTATTTATTTACTTATTGATTTACCCTCCCGTTGGCTGCTAATTGGAGCGCATTCAGGCCTTCCGCATTGCACACGGTCTCTGTGCACCTTCCTGGGCATCTCCCACCTCCACTGAGTGTGGTGCAGGGACCTGTGCCGCCGCCGCCGTGGCTTCCCTAGGAACTCTTAGTCATACAGACTCTCAGGTCCTGCTGAGCAGAAACCTGCATTTTTGAAAGACCCCTGAGGGGTCATGTTTGAGAAGTGAGGGGATGTTGTGCCCGTGGCCCCAGTGAGACTGTTGGGCCCCCAAGGGTGTTCCAGCTTCCCCTCCTTCCAATGGGATGTTAGAGCTGCCTCTGATCTTCATCCTCGCTAACTTTAGGGATTGTCTTAGTTATCTTTGCTGGTCCATGGGCAGCGACATCTGGCCATGGCCTTGCTCCATGATCCCAATATCTAACAAGGCACCATGTCTGCCACGAGCCCCCTTTGTGACCCTTCTGTTCTGTTTTCCTTCACTTCACACTGCCTTTGTGCCTTGTTTTCTCAGCTGGGGACGACTTCTCCCTGTAGCACTCCTTGTCACCGCCTCCAGGAAGCCCTCCTAGACTGCTGCTCCCCAGTCTCACAGACAGGAAGACCCAGTGTAATGCATTGTCGCTTCATGTTTCTCCTGGGAGCTTCACCTTCTCCGAGGACCTTGTAGACCTGCATGACTCAGCCCTACAGAGGTAAAAATGTTCTAATCCACTTGCCATAATTTTCAGGAAATTTTTACATTTTTAAACAGCCTGAATTATTGATTAATATATAGAGAAAATGTGGTGTATACACAGTGGGGTTTCATCCAGTCATGTGAGAGTGAAATTACCTCCTATGTAGGGAAATGAGGGTTATCATAGTAAGCCAAACAAGGCAGCCTTGGAGAGACAGTGGTTTTTTTTTTTTCTTTTCCCCAAATACGCAGAATCTACATTCAAATGTATGCATATTATATGCATGTGATATGGAGGTTGAAAGGAAGAGGAGACTGGTGAGGGAGGGGGAGGGACGGGGGGGGTGGCAAGAGTACAGTGATGTAGTGTGTAAGATGTCATCGTGAGCCCATTCCCATTATTTTGTATATTAACTAAAAATGAATTTAAAAATTAACTAAAATGTCTGAATTGCTGGTTTTCTCTCTGAAAGGCTGGAAGATGTGGCCTCATGAGGACTTCTTCCCTACATGGTGACAACTGGCTGGTGTAGAGCGTAACAGACGCTGTAACTCACGCGCACACCCTGTCCAGGCCATGTGGGCATCTAGGCCTGTGACCCCTGCCCAGGCAGGACGGGTTTCTCCTTCTCAGCTTCTCTCATCCCTTCCCTTCTTCCCATAATCTCGTTCCACTCTTACTCAACGGCCCACCTCTGCCCTACACATCCTCAGCAGCCTCTCTGGCCTTTCTTGCCTCTTCCAGTCACTGTCCATGTCATAACCCTGCTCAGGAACCAGCAACAACTCCCAGCCCCTTTCTAGACATTACTTGACTTTTAATAAGAAGCGTTATCACAATATAAAAGAAATGGTTTACAAATGGCCGGCTAACTGCTCATGTACTCACTCTTCAGAAATAAGTCGTTTCAAGCACACTGAGGCCTCTATCACAGTCCCGTCCTGTCCCTCAGGCTACCACTTGCCAAAATTTGCTATTCATCACTCCAGTGGGTATTTTTATACCTGTGTTACATATACATATGTCCCCCAATAATACACAGTATTGTGTTGCATGTTTTCCAACTATGTATCTGGTTCTTCCTGTCTGGAACTTGCTTTTTAAAAATCCAATAATATCTTTTAAAAAACATTTTTTTAAAATGATTGTACCGAACTCAGGCGAAGCTGGCATCATACAGCTCATCACTGAGTCTTCACAAGGCCAGTGTGGTTTTGTGATCCATCCTCACAGATGTTTTGAGGCTCATGGCGTGGGGACAGCCTTTTGTGGTCGCTATTTGCCCAGGCTCCAGACAATGGCTGTTTAGGCTGTGCCCAGCTTTCCTTTCATAGACAGTGCTGCTGTGAGCATTGGTGAAGAAACCTTTGGAGCCCTATTCGGAGGCCTAAACCTGCTCATTTTAGCCAACTGCTACACAGCACCAGACCGCTGTCCAGCCCCATCAGAGGATCCCAAATCCATGGAGGTCTTCCTAGTTACCCAGGGGCCTTTGTTCTCTACTGACAGCAGCCTGAATCTACAGCCACCCCTCCACCTTCCTCCTCTAGGACTCCAAACTGACCTCTCCTCTGCCCACCTTTGCCAGCATGGGTCATGGTGCGTCTCCAAAGCCCTTAGCTGCAGTTGTTGAGAGTCCAAGTACCTCAGCACTCCCCCCTCCCCACCCCCCGGGAGTGGGGGGAAGAAAGGTTGTTTTTGGGAAGGGAGGCATGGGTGGACCAGTAGTGTTGAGAAGCTGGTACATGAAATTGCTCTGGGTCTTGAGGGATGAGTAGGAGTTTGTCAGTGAGGGATGGTGGGAGGGCATTGCAGGCTCCGGGAAAGGGGGAACAGTGGCTTCTAGGATAGAGATATGAGGAGGGTGGGCAGGCAGGGGAAGAGAAGAAAGAGGACTGTGTGGGGCCTCGATTGCACACCTAGTATTCTCCAGGGATGGCTGTGTGGGAGCCGGGGAGGAGGCGCATCCATTTGAGAGCCATGATCCAACAAGGAGCGCTTGCTTATACTCATCATTTCTTGGGTTTCTTGAGGAGATAGATGCTATGTTGTCCCCACTGTGCAGGCGGAAAGACGGGTTCAGGGAGAGCCTCTCTAGTTTGTGATCACAGAAACCCCCAGGAGGGGTAAGACAGGTGCCGAGCCACGAATTCCAGAGCCGCCTTTAGCCAGGTACCGCTGCCGAAAACAAGGGTTCTGCAGGAAGCGGGTCACCGGGAGGGGGCACCCGATCCTAGAGGCAGGAACCCCATCAGGGAAGCGGGGCGAGGGGGTGGATTTTAGAAGCCTGACTCCCGCGGCGCGACCTAGACCAGCCTCATCTTTTTCGAGCCTCAGTTTCCCTACTCTACAGGGAGCCCAGCCACGGCCAACACGCGTTCCTGCCGACCCACTCAACAACCCGGGTTTCCAAGTTCGCGCGCCACCGCGGGCCCGCGCTGTGTAACCTCGCTCCGGTAGCCTGCCCTCTCTGGACCAGCGGCCGCAGATTCCCAAGCGCTCTTTCAGCCACACACCCAGCGCTCGCAGCCGCGGCGTCCCTCCCCTCCCTCCCCCG